TTTGTCTCACGTATTCTGTTCACCTACAATGAGATTACGCAAACCAGAACGGACGCTTTATCCGATGAGATCTGTCTAAATCGTCGCGTAGAGAACGCGGTGCATTCGGGGGGATGGAAAAACGGGGGAAAACAAAAAAATTATGCAATCGTACCGAAACGGCGAGCGAAAGAAAAAAGATAAAGAAACGCGAACCAGATATTACTCCGGTGACACTTGCGACTTGTTGAACACTGAGTCGGGTGTTCATGAACTGTGAACGGTGAAATCGTTTTTAGATGGAAATGCAATTGTATGCGATAAATATAGTTCCTGTATTATACATAACGTATATAAATTTAATATAAATTATTCTATTTAGTAGCTTTATATTATTCTAACAGTAGTACATTGTGCGAACCAAAAGAAAAGAACAAAAAAATCCACACGTCATGTTGATATCTGTCGTAATCTTATTCGTCGATGTCGATTCAAGATATAAACTCTCGAGAGAGCGTTTCAGAAACCTACTCGAAATAGTCCTTTTCTTTTTTTTTTCTCTCTCTCTCTCTTTCCGGTGAGAGATTCGATGTTCGATCGAACGCTGACGATGATCGAAATGAAGGGAATGCGGAGGTGTATCGTATCGGTAGTGTCGAGCAAGGGACAATAAAGACAACCTAGGAAATAATTATGTGTACGTGCTCTGTTTCTCTTTCGACGAGATAGAACGTGAAACGAGAGAAAATAGCGAAAGAGAAGGAGAGGAGGGAAATCGTCGGTGAAAATGCAGTGAACATTTGTTGACACGTATCGATTTTAACATTTTTGCCGGGTGTTGATGTCTGGTTTAGTTTATTCGAGGAAATCCTGCAGTGGCTTCTGGTGAAAATTAATTTCCAAATTTGTAAATTTCCATTTTTCAATTTCTAAGCTTATAATTTCCTAAATTTGTAAATTTCCATCTTTAAATTTCTAATTTTGTAAATTTGCAAAGCTCGATTTTGCAATTTCTCGATTTCTAATTTTCTACATTTGCAAACTTCTAAATTTCTAACTTTCTACGATCGCAAATTTCGATTTTTAAAGGTCTAAACTTCTAATTCTCCAAATTTGAAAATTTCGATCTTTAAATTTCTAAATTTCATCATTTTCATCGATCATTTCAATTCAATTTCAAAATAAATACAAATTCACAATTACCGCATTGTATTGCTGAGTAGGCAAGACAGATTTTGCCGCAAAATTATCTTCACAGTTTCGCCAGCTCAAATCGTGCATTAATAATTTGGAGAAAATTAGACGGCAAATTGAAATATCGAATATAGCAAAAATCTGTAGCGAAAATGCTGGTTTGTTCGTAATTTAAAAAATTGAAGAATAGAATGATGTGCGTATACAGAATGATTCTAGTAACTAGAACATACTATAACTCTGTTCCAAGTGAAATTAGCAAAAAATCGTAGAGAAAGATTTTGCACTACTTCACAAATTCTGCAATTACGCTTCTTTTCTGAATGAAACTGCACATTTCTTTCACGTAGATCGACTCTTTGATTCGTTCCACGTATGAAGGTACAAGTATATTCAAAGAAAACAACACTTTGCAAGATGTTTGAAAATTTTAATCAAGCGTATGTTTCAAAAATTTGAAATGTCGATTCTTCTAACATTTTCAAATACTGTTCTACACAAAATGTTCCAAAGAGTCATCCACGTGACAAAAAATGTGCCTTTCAATTAAAAAAAAAAAATAAAAAAAACGTGCAAGTGCACTGATGCATTTGCAAAAAATAATCTTAAAATAATCTTAAACTGCTAGAATCACTCTGTACAATATTTCTATCATTTCTATCATCGGTGTTACTCAAACTGTCGAATATTTGACTAGATTCGTCGTGCTAATTTTCAACTGTCCCCATTTCCACGTACACTGTTGTCAGTAACGATAGAAATAATGCTGCATATTCGACTCGTCGAACGGCACAGGTAAATTGATCGTGCTAGACAACGGAATCGGCGATTGCGATTAAATATAAATATAACTCGTCGATACACTGCTCAATTAAGAAACTAATGCAAACTATCGGAAAATAACGAACGAAATTATTTTCAAATTGGTATCTTCGAATAATACAATTGTATTTGTCACACTTACCGTTTTGTTTCGTAATGTTATTTATTTTTTCTAAATGTTATTATTATGGAAGCTCCACTCTAAGCGAGAGACTTGTAATAAATTCTATTATGCTTGATTCGTTGATACGGTTAACTTATTTAATAACGAAGCACGGAGTAATTACGTATCTCTGATTAAATTATAACGTTGTTATCGTTCATCAAGACTGCATTTTTTCAATTCGTTCATACACAATTCTCGATTTGTAAATTTTCACGTTTCAAAACAAACGAACTGGCGCATATCATAAAAAAAAAAAAAAAATCTAACATCGCCCCGTGATAAACTCTGTGCACTGACCAAGAGAACTTTGGCACAGATTTTTCCGTAGAGATTAATGCAACGCATGATTTCGAGAATGTCCAAATATTAGTTATATTTCCGTCGTATACGTCTTGAACACGTTGTTACTTATCCGGAAATATTGTAAAAAATTGTGTTCCGGATAGAAAAATTCGATAAATGAATTCATCGTTATCGACGAAATTCTGCAAAATGAACGTTGCATCGCGTATTTTGCAAAATTCTTTCCTCGAATTTTCCAAAGATTTTATAAATAATTTACTGCCCGTTTGCATCGGTTCGAGAAGCGTATGACGTATTAAACGATGTGTTTGTAAATTTGATTTCGTCTTCTGAAATAACACCGTCACTGTCGAAAATCTACGTTTATATGTAACACGTTGATACGAAATTATGCATTACGAAATATGTTCGCGGTACGTCAAAAGTAACATATGGTATTGAATTTGTGATATAATGTAAACGAACAATATTATAATATTTACATCCTTACTGTTAAGAACATGGCGAAAAGGAACGAGTAATGCAAGAATAACTAAATTCTTTTCCTCTAAGAAAAAGGAAAAAAAAAAATCGAATACAAATTTACCGAAACCTTTCTTCTAAATTGGCAAATGGTCGAGAATCTTCGACTTCGCGACAGTTCTCAAAAATCGGTTAAACTCAACCGAATTAAATTCATAAATTTCCCAAAAAAAAAAAAAAAAAAAAAAAACACTCTACTCTAATTTACACTGATATTTCTGCGATTCTAGCTTAAGTTCAAGTATTCTCGTAATTTTCTAAAAGCACGTGTCCAACATATCGCACGATTCACGTAAAAATGTGTACAATTAAGGCAAGATAGACCGATGAATAAACACTAGGTGATATACAATAGGAAGCCCGTGTAAATTAAATTAAGTGTCTCTTAGCTTCCAAGATAATTTTAAAATCGAGAAATCGTCGATCAGCAAACGGAAGAATTGAAAAAAAAAAAAAAAAAATAAAAAAAAAAGAGAGAAAAGAAGTAGAAGAATCGAGAGAAACGCGGCGAAGCGTAAAATCGAGACAGAACGTTTCGGAAGATAGAATCCATGCACGCCTATGTACCTAAAATAATCGACAGTAATCATTGTAAAGAGTATATACAGTCGGGGCTGCAGTCGTTTCCGCGACAGACATAAACAGGATAGCCTAATAATCATTGATTAATTTCTTAAGTTTCGAGAATGCTTTATCTAGGCGGTTACGAAGTGGATTAACTTATAAATAAATGAAACGAGTAAATAAATGAATTTATATATGTATACATATTATATGTATTTACGAGAACGATCTATTTATATATACGTATACTCTGTGTATACGTATATATACATATGTGTCTGTATGTGTATATTTTGGTGTATATACATACATATACATATCTATCGGTTAGCAACTACTTTCAAGACTGTGGAACATCATAGGTGTATAAATGTTTAAATAAATTATTATAACGTGGCAATAAAATATTTGTTGTAATTATTCCTCAATTCCTTCCTGTATTGTGTAGCAACAGATTTTTCGGAATAATTCTACGATTACATATCGACGTCAATATGGCGTCGTAAAATGTACGATATATCGAAAGTTTACGATTCACAGCGATTTTTATGCGTCAAACTTCATACATATATGAAATAAATTAGTTGGAATTTTATTGTATTTTAGCTCCTCGAATAATTAAATTGAAACTATTTCACACGAAATATTTTAAGTTATTATATCGGGTATACGTATATCTACGTAATAATTTGAAAATAATCGATCGATAATTTCGTATAGGTTAAGAAATAGAAAGCTCAGTGATGCTGATGAAAATTATGTAAATTACGTCGGATGTTGTAAAAACGTAACAGTATTACGTATGTACACGAGGAAAATTTTGATAACATGTTATCGAGAAGATTATATTCTTTTCACGATTTAAAATAAAACAATCTTGGATTTCTATAAATTGATCCGGTATTTCGAAATATTTCGAACAAGCAATCGAAATTTCAATACGAATATGTTTCTTGTCAAGAATATTTCTAGTCAGAATGTTTTAATTTATTCGTGAGTAATCATATTAACAATTAGCTGCTTATAAGTTAATATTAACACTATAATTTAATAATATGATATAATATATTGCTTATTATTACTGATATTGAGAAAGTGGATGTAAAATGGAGGGAAATTTCGAGCAAAGGTAATATTGCAAAAACAACTTACGTGATTGACGAGTTGCGCAATAAGATCACCTTATCACAAATGCTGTTCACGTTTCAAAGACATGTCGTATACAATAATTTGGATTTGCACATTTCCACAAATGACACAACACTTTATATAATCAAACTTCTATTGTAACTTTAAACTTCTACACGTTTGAATGTTCAACCATTTTCACTAAACCGTTTTTGAACAAAGTTGAGGCAGCACCTGTCGTTCCGATTGTATAGACATCTGGTAGATAACCTTTCACCTTCTTTAACCGTGTAGTACGCATTTTAGAGGTTATGTTCATCAGTACAGTTTGTAAACAATAGCAAAGGCTATCGTAGTAAAAAAGTTACGTTCTTGGTAACGATGAGGAAAAGTTTGATAAAATGATTAACGTATTATTTTAAATTTGCATATTTTATTGCTGCAACTTTTCACTGCACATAGGAAGCAATAATAAATTATATAAGAATTCATGTGATACCCATTTGTAATAAAATGTATTTAAAATTCTTCGTTACTTTGTGCATTTTTCATTTAAATTATGCCTGGGAGGTTTGTATTGACAATTTGATTTTGTAAAACTTTTAAATGCGTCATTACTGTGCAGTACGAAAATCTAACCTTTACAGATACCGGAGAATTTTGCGAAAACAGGTCATTCGAATAATTGGGCGGTATTAGTTGATACATCACGATTTTGGTTTAATTATCGACATGTTGCAAATGTGTTATCTATTTATCGAAGCGTTAAACGCTTAGGAATTCCAGACTCACAGATCATTCTAATGATAGCAGATGATATGGCCTGCAATCCAAGAAATCCTAGACCAGCAACTGTGTTCAATAACATCAAGCAACATATTAATGTTTATGGAGATGATGTAGAAGTAGATTACAGGGGTTATGAAGTTACTGTAGAAAATTTTGTTAGATTATTAACCGGTCGATTAGCACCAGAGACACCAAGATCTAAGAAGCTGTTAACAGACGAAGGGTCTAATATCTTGATTTATCTTACTGGTCATGGTGGAAATGGATTTCTAAAATTTCAAGATTCTGAAGAAATCACTAGTAAAGAACTTGGAGATGCATTGGAGCAAATGTGGCAGAAAAGAAGATATCATGAAATTTTGTTTATTGTTGATACTTGCCAGGCAAGTTCAATGTATGAGACATTTTATTCTCCAAACATTTTAGCAGTTGCTTCTAGTTTAGTAGGAGAAGAGTCACTTTCTGTGAGTGACAAGTTTCATTCTATTTTGTTTACAATTTTTTAGTTGAACAGTTCCATGTTTTCTATTTTGTTTACAGCATCACTTGGATCCTGCTATTGGTGTTTATATTATAGATAGATATACATTTTATGCATTGGATTTTCTAGAAAAAGTAGAACCATCTAGTCCCAGAACTTTAGGAGAATTTGTAAGTTGTACAAAAAGCGATTAAAATGAAATTTATTATGATTATAAATTAACGAATTTATTTCTTCCAGCTTAAAGTATGTCCTAAGCATTATTGCTTATCAACTGTAGGAGTTAGGAAGGATTTATTTAGAAGAGATCCTGATAAAGTACCGGTCACAGATTTCTTTGGATCACTGAGGCCTATAGAATTAACTACAAGTATAATGAACGTTCTGCCTCTAAAAACAAACAAAACAACATCTATTGAACCGAAAAGGAAGTATTCCTACCTCGCACAATTTCCCGATGTAACAAAGTTTACGTGATTCTTAGAAATAAATACGAACTTCCGTAAAGAAAAAGAATTATGTTTGCTTTTTAAATATTTAAACAAAAAAAACAACGTAAAACAATAAACTATTTAATGTTAATAAAAGAAAATATTTCCTGAGATACTCTGACTAGTGTTTACATTGCCATACCGAATACTGCTTACAAAAAACGTAAACATCTCGAACCTACACGATACGTTGCAAACTGTGTTTTTATTTTTTCAAAGTTACTACAAAAGGTATGTATATTGAATAAAGTCAATAAACGCGTTTGTGACTCAGAACGACAAAATATCAGTTTGCTGTTTCTTAAGAACAGCTGGAGTAAGAGATAACAGAATACTGTTAAAATGTCGAGACATGTGATACTAATAAAGCATAACATATTCTTATTCTATAGTTCAGTATTAAACTGTAAAACAAATTTCCAAATAGCATTAAATAATAAAATATTTACGCGAGTAATCGTATCGTACATTGTTTTTTATTAAATCCAATTTTTTATGAATCGTAATGTGTAAATATTAATTCGAGCTACCATTACATAACAAGAAATCATTTTTCTAACTTCAATTCCTCTACAATTTAATAACTGGAATTTTATCGTCAATCTTAAAATTCTTCACGAAGTTATTCGCTCTATTGAACAACTAGAAGTAGCGAAACATTTAATTCTTGTCTTTGTATCACCTTCATTTTTATTTACCGAGTATGCTGACAGAATATGAATTACAAATGTCAATGAATTGCGACGAATTTAACCTTGACCTAGAAATGTGAAAATTGTCATGGTCGAAGTTATGATTTCTGGAATTATCTCTTAACGCTCAGAAATTGTCAACCTTTAACATTCAAGAAGAAAAACTTCGTTTAACTATAGCATCAGCGTTTGAAATACTAAACATTTCTACGTATCGTTCGCGCAATGTCAATTCTACGTACTATGCCTATGAAATGCGATAGACGAAACTCTGCGTAATGATTTCAAAGCGGTGTCTGTATAAGTCACATATATAAGTATGATATCAGTCATCGTAAACACCAGTCAGTGAAACGAGACTGATAGTGCCGCACGAGAATTTTAATCAATCTAATCGTCCGTGAACATACAGCAAAATCATTGAAATCAGTTTTTCTGTAACTTCCTTCAAAGTGAGTATTTGTGATATTTAACAATGCCGACGAGAAAACCTGAGGAAAACGCAGTTTTCATATTCTTTCGTCGATTATTTATATTTTCATAAATTAATTTTTGCACGTTACCGAAATTTTTAATCGTAAGCTATCCTTTTGTTACCTTACTTTTTCATTCTTTACAAAAGATTATCTGCATTTTACTCCCTATTATCACTAATATCACGAATTTCTTCTGACTTTCGATGTTCTTCTATGTTAACATTAACTTGAACGTATAATAATTTTGAACTTTAATATTACAACCGAAACATTCGAATCTCGTCACTCGTATTTTGTCGTACTTTTTTTGAAATACCTAGTTCCGAAAGGCACAATTTTTTTCAGATGCGTTTCCTGCTTTCCTATTTGTCAATACTTCTTTCAATCTGTACGTTGTCATTCGCGCTCAGATTGAATGATAAATTTGTCGAGGTACATGAAATTGACAAAAACATATTAGAGAATCAACTACCCCCTCAAGAACCGGCGAATCATTCATTTCCAACGAAGCCAACGGTTCCTCAGATTCCAATCTGTGCAAGGGAAGGACACTTCAGGGATCCATATAACTGCAGAAAATTCTATTTCTGTCAATATCAAAACGCAATTCCTAAGGCTTTCTACTGTCAACTGGGTCTAGTATTTGATACGTTTACGAACACCTGCACCTCTGGCTATGTAGATTGTTGATCGGTTAGTTCGACGCAACGTTCGAAGATCAAAACAATTCCTTTGACTGTGTTATTGTATTTATTCATTCTCTTGTAAGCTTTTGTAAATAATCTACAGCGTTTCTATATTTATTTATATAAAATATTCTTCTTAAATTAATTGTGCAAGTTACTTAGTAACTAAAATACTACGAAGTGCATTCTTTATTGGATATGAAATGTGTACGAAGCGTTATTCTCGTTGCTTGCCGGTGAGTAATATTAAATTAGAAAGTTATATGGCGAAATTTGTAAATAAAATGAAATACTTAACTGCGTATAAACAACAGTTTAGAATTAACAGAGAGCGCAGTTCAAATGAAAAAGTTTCTCCTGTAGAAAGTTGACGAATAATATACGTACAACAAGGGTAGAATGAATCATGATTTTATTTGTTATATAATAATATCTACAATAAAAATACCACATCGTTTGAAAAACAATTTTCGTTACAATTATACAGTGATTTTATATAATAATATAATATTTAGGTTTTCGTTCCAAATAAGATGTAGCGACGAACATACACCTCGCAGTGGGAGTGAGAAAATACATTTTTTTTTGTTGCAAATTCCACATTGATTTCTTCACTCAGCGTTATTTCTTTCATTTTATTTTTTTTTTTCATCTTTTTTTTTTTATGCAATACGCAACGAACACACTCGAAACGACATTCAACGACGCGACGTAGTCGTCTCGTTATCGTGTTTTTCACTCTCACGGTTGTTATAATATTCTCGC